AGTAATGCGATAATTCAGCTTTCAGCCTTGACGAGGACTCTCTTTCTCCTCCCGCCTTTTGGCCCCTTGACTCTAAATCTGTGATCTACAAAGGGCTATAAAAATAACTAAATACTAGGATAGAGACGTGGAGGCTTTGAGATGCAGCAAGCAGTTTTTCTTCTTTTGTTGCTTTTCTCCGAGGAGGAAGTTTACTTGAACTAATGGCCACAAGAACCTAAAAATGGCTCCATGGAAGCGGCGGCGGCGCGCGTTATAGAGGATACCTGTGGAAAATGTTGGCTCATATGTCAGTGCGTGCCCAGGAAGCGTCCTTTATTTATTTTCGAGCGGCTATATAAAGAACGGCTACGCTTTGTTGCGCCAGCATGAGCCTTTTATTGGGCAGCCCGGAGTGGGCCGCAGCCAGGAGCGGGAGAGCCCCCCCCACTCCCCTCAAACAGGGCTCCCCTGCCGGCTCTCACATCTGGCGGCTTCCCTCCTGCCTGCGTGCAGGGAGTCAGCGGAGGGCATTGCTGAAGGAAGGCCCCTGAACCCACTGTGTGTGACCAGTCTGGTGGCTGTTGGCTGCGACAGATTGCATCACACATTGCTCAGAGGTGTCGCCTTCAAAAAACAAGGAAAAACCCCCAAAACCTGGACTCTTGAAAAGAATAATGCTTTTTGGGTGTGTGTGTTTTTAAAGGTCTGTTTTTCACGCTGTCACGGTGCAAAAATGCCAAAAGGCATTTTTTCCTTTAAAAATCACCTCTGGGCTAAGCCCAAGTGCTGGAGTAATGGATCTAGAAAGGTCTTGGTGAGGAGTTAGAAGGCTGGGAGCAGGCGCTGGCACTGGACTGTTTTCTCCTGCTTCCACACCCCCGCACCCCCCACCCCATCCCACCCCCACCCCTCAGTTGGAGGCGGATCCTGGTCTGCCTGGTCCCTCTGTGGGCACGGGAGGACCGAGGGAACACTGGAGTGTGTTCTGCTCCTCTTAAAAATCGTGTGCGTGGCCGTTTAACTCTTTCCAAACAGGCTCTCAGCACAGATCACCTGGGGAGCAGGGCTGGAGAAAGAGCCCAGTGACGTGGCAAAACAAAACAAGAGCTCAGGGGTCCTCAAACTTCCGCCCGTGGGCCACGTGCGCCCGCCGAGGACATTTATCTGGCCTGCTGGGTGTTTTTGCCCCGTTTTGTTTTTTACTTCAAAATAGGATATGTGCAGTGTGCATAGGAATTTGTTCATAGTTTTTTTTTTTTAACTATAGTCCGGCCCTCCCACGGTCTGAGGGACAGTTAACTGGCCCCCTTTGTAAAAAGTCTGAGGACCCTGCTCTAGAGTCTGGCAGGCTTGGGTGTGAAATCTGCTTGTTACTCTCGATGTGGCCCCTGTGAGTGCATGTCTCTCGGTGTTCCCCGTCTGTGAAGTGGGCACAGGACCTCCACCCCGCGTCAAATCAGCCTGGAGGACATCAGAGAGGCCAAGCACTTGGCCACTGTCCGTAGCTCATAGTACACAATAAGTGTTCAGTAAACACCCACTTGGCCCTCTGAGGAGGGGATTGGATTGACAGTATCACATGAGTGCAGCCCAGGACACCCTCTCCGCCACACTCTCTGAGCCCTTTGTTGGAAGCACCTCAATTTATGGCGTGAAAGGCGCTGCCTTCAGCACAGGCACCTAGAGTGCACAGTGCCACTTGCTGAGTTAGGGCCGGGCAGGCTCTTGAGCGCCAAACAATACATGTTCTTGGGTGGCATTGCCCTCCCTCCCTCCCTTCTCTGCCGTCACTCTCACAATTGTTTGGTGGACTGAAAGTAATAATCCTGAAAACAAACGGATGAATCAGTGCTCCTGGGGCAGGGGATGGGTACGATCCCAAAGAAGAAATGCCATGACTCAGGGGGCTTGTCACCGATAGCCGGGTACTCTCTGTGCATGGGTGTGCATGATTACAGCTGGTTGTGTGTGTGTGTGTTCACTGTTGGAAGGCAGTCTGGCTCTCCCTGAAGTCCCCCATCCCCTTAGTTGGCTTGGACGTCAGTGAAAATGATTATCTCCGGAAATCCAAGGATCTGGAATGAGTTGGACCTGAGTAAGGAACCCACACCTAAGGAGCCCTCGTTTGGCCTTTTCTGGTTGTGCTACTAATCCTGAGGCAAGGAGTAGAGGGCCAAGAGATGGGCCATCTAGAGGGTGAACCTCCTTCCTACCATGCTCTAGGAACCGGAAAGATAGTTACCATGACCTCAGGGGGCGCACAGGCTAGTAAAGAGCCAACAGGGGTCACCTTGGGAGCCCCTAGGGGAGCAGCTTCCGCCCAAGGAGTGAGAGGCTTGTTTAGTGCTGGAGGGGAGCCTGCAGGCTGGAGAGGGGCGGGGCTGCCTGTCGGACAGGCCAGACATTGTATGGGCAGCATGAGGCCCAGGAAGGCAGGGCCGTTCAGGGTAGCCAGAGTGTGGCAGTGTCCAACAGATTTGTAAGTAGGGAGTGCCATGGGTAGAGACACCCTTCCGTTTGTAGTTCACGTCCTCCTCCCCCACCCCCACGTGGCTGGTAGCGGCAGGCCTCCGCCTGAGTCTTCCAGGCCAGAGCCGTAATGCCTTATACCACCCTGTGAACAGCTTCAGGCAATGTCTGGACCTGGGCGGAGGGGGTGTTTTGCCTCCCTGGGGAGGGCCCTGGGAGCTCCATTGTCCGGTAATTAGCCAGTGAATCAGGTAAGCCAGCCTCTTGGCGCAGACTCCGGAAAAGGAACTGGGGCTCCTTGGGCTCTCTGTAGGTACCCGCCTCCCGAGCAGAGGCCTGGGGTCAGAGCTCGGCATCTCTTTGGCCCTCAGCATGGAATGTCTTTGGTCATTTGCTTATTGATGCTTATCTAGGTCAGGCTTTCCCATTGCAGACCACACGGCATTGGAGAGAGCACCAAAACTCTGCAGTCTCCTGGGGTGACAGAAGCAGGCACCGCCAAATGAACCACAAATCCGGGGAGCCCCACGATGTCAGCCTAGACCTGTGCTCTGGGAGGTTGCCGAGGGCTGTTGTTTTGTTTCCTCCATAAGCAGATTGCCAGGCCTTTCTCCCTTGACACCTCTGGATGGTGTAAATCTCCACCCATCCAGTCAGCAGCCCGGCACGTTAACTTTTGGCCCTGCACACAGTGACTGTAATAGAGGCATGCGGAAAAACAGACTGTATTCCTTAATAAGGGAGTAAAAGAGTTGGTTTAAATCCCTCTTCTCTATTTTATTACTAATATCAAACACAAACTGTGCTGGCCATTCAGCGAATGGGCACCATTTATTATCTTTTCAGGGTTTTTGTTGTTGTTAATTTAGGTTTATATTTAAAGGACAACGCTTTCCCTTCAGGTAGCTTTTTAAAAGGTAGACCCTTTTTCTGTTCTCGTACTGCTTGGAAACGCTGAGAGGCCAAGTGCTGCAAGTGAGATGCGGGGGGCGGGGGGGGCGGGGTTCCTGGGGTGCAGAGCTTGGGCTCCAGCGACCTGGGCCCAAGCAGCTGTTCCAGCTTGGGGCAAGTGAGCGATTTCTCTGAGCTTGCTTTTCCTCACCAGTGAAATGGGAATCACAGGACCTCCCTCTGCAGGATTACCGGGGCTTTTCCTGTACACAAGTTGTTGTGCGTTAAAAGCATCTCACACTGTCGAAAATCACGCCCTGCCGGATCTTCTTCACGACACCTGACTCCACCATATTGCTAAAAAGCCACTTGGGGCTGAGGTGGAGTTCAGGCTTCCAGATGCACATGCCGGTTTTCACACAGACCTTAGAGAAAGGCTGGTGGCACAGTGATGAAAGTGCTCAGTGGAGAACCCGAAGGTTGGCAGTTCGAACACACCGGTGCTCCATGGGAGGAAGATGTCGCAGTCGGCTCCTGTGAAGAGTCATAAAAGTCCAAAACAAAAACAAACTCGCTGCCACAGAGCCAAGTCCCCTCCACAGTGACCCTGTAGGTTAGGGTAGAACTGCCCCTGTGGGATTCCAAGACTGTAACTCTCTTTGGGAGGAGAGAGTCTCCTTTTCCTCCCTCAGAGAGGTTGGTGGTTTTGAACTGCTGACCTTGTGGTTAGCAGCCCAATGTGAAACCGCTGTGCCACCAGGACTCCGCTCTGTACTGGTGGTGGTAGTTGTTAGGGATTGTCGAGTGGACTCCAGCTAATCGTGACTCTGTACAACAGAATCAACAGAATGAAATAGTGCCAGTCTTACCTCCTCCTCCCACTGGCTCTCATGTTTGAACCTGTAATGTCGTCTGTAGAGAGGTTCTTCTCATCGCAGAAGGTCACCAGGAGCAGTGGGTTTAGTTGGGTTGTTTTGATGAGCTCAAGTTCTTGCCTCCCGAGAACCTCCAAATGCCCTTGGTGCTGCACCCTAGAAGTCAAGGGATGCTTGAGTCATTGGGGCTGACCTTTGGCAGGTCACCAAACCCCACTCACCAGGGGTGGTCCTGGTACCTGCCATGCACTCCGACTGTCGACACCACCATCACCACCTTCTGCTGTCCGATTAACGCCAACTCATGGCGACCCATGTGTGCTCCTTAGTTTTTTCAACAGGCCAAGTTTGGGGAGTAGATTACTAGGCTTTTCCTCCCAGGGACCTCTCCTCTGGAGGCTCGGGAAATGCCAACCCTTCTGTTAGCCGCCAAGCACGGTAAGCATTTGTGCTACCCAACCAGGCACACGAGTGGCCAGCTCGCTTACTTACCTTCCCTGGTGAGAGGACGCTGAGCGGGCACCAGGTATCCGCCTTCACAGAGCAGGCTGCCACTTCAAGGGCCAGCAGCAAGTCTCTGCCAGCTGCCCTCTGCTTCGTGGCCCTGATCGGTTCTAACGGAAGTCCCAAAGATACGACTGGCTGAGAGTCGTGGAGAGTTTTGTGGGCAAGCTTTCCTGCGGAGGAATTTTGGAAGGAATTAAAAATAACAGCGAGCCTGCCTTTTGTTTCTCTTTGGTTGTGGTAGATAAATGGAATGTGCCAGGGCCGCGGTGGAACACGTGGCCTTACATAACTCTCTGCTGCCCACAGAAGAACCCAGCAGGGAGCAGGTAGGGACTTTGCATGGTCTAGCTCAGTGGAACGCTCTCAGGATTTGTTTGTGCGCCATCCAGGCATCGTTCTTCTCTCATCCCACATGATGTATTGGGTGGGCGTCTGGAGAAGGGCTTCGATGCTTGAAACGCTGCGGCCACACTGTCACCGTGGACCAGGGCGTGGCCAAGATGCCCTAGTGACAATGAAGTCTGCAGGCAGGGAGGCTTCAAGAATCAGTAAGGCTCAGGAGCCTGCCATCCTCGGCCTAATGAATCTTTGCCCTCACATTTGCCCTGCCTCATGGTCCAAAGAGGACCCCAGTTGCCCCAGTTAGTGCTACCTCCTTCCCACCAATGCATCCAGGCACTAAGAAGGGCCATTTCTCCTTGGGGGGGTCTCTGTGGGACAAAAACCGTTCCCAGATGCCTCCTGATGTCTCTCTAACCACTGATGTGTCATGGGCAGAGACCACGGATTTTAATAGGAAACCCAGGCCGTTTCTTTGACTTGTTACGGTAGTTTGTGCTGGGCTATAATTAGTCAAGTTTAGTCCCTACCTTTCTGATGGCCGTTTGCTTCCCTGAGCCTGATCCCTGGTGGATTTCTGAGGAGGTGACCGTAAACCAGTCAGAGGCCAGTTCCTGCCCTGGTGGAGTTTCTAGTCCAGGTGGAGAGACAATTATGGCATCGTACCGGGAGCATCTAGGGGGCCAGTGTAGCAGCCTTCTGTACAGGAAGCATCTCGGGGCCCAGTGTAGCAGCCTTCTGCCGGGCAGCCGTTTTAGAAGAGGCTTGCCTTTGGGCTCAGTGAGACAGATGGGAGTGAGGTCCACGGGGTGGGGGGTGGGGAGGCCTGTCAGGCCTGTGAGTGCCCTGCCTTAGGCCAGTAGACTGGGTGACCAGTTCTCAACTTCTGCCTCCCTCCCTCCCTCCCTCCCCCAGTCCTGTTTCCCTCCTGGCAGAGGGATGATAAAAGACTTGTCCTTGCGTGTGGTGGCAGGCAGGGGGCCCTGCTGAAAGCCTCCTTCCCTGCGGGGACATTTTCTGAAGGGTCTGGTGGTCTTCAAGCTTCAGACCATGGGCATTTTAACTGCCTGGGTGGTGTCTTTGGCGCGTCTCGCTCCTTTTGAATCTGCTGGAAACTTTCTCTGGAAGCCTCTAGTGAAGAAGCCTGAAGTCTACAAATGTTCAGTGGTTCAGAACACAATGCTGGCCGATGTATACGGACTTCTTAGTTTGGTTTGCTGATGGAACTTTCTGTAGACCTGGGATACCCTGGAATCTTCCTGTCCCAACAGCTAATGACCTGGCTGCAGGTCCACACAGGCATTTTGATTCCAAGTCAGCGTAAACAGCCTCCTGTTTTCATTTTGCTATTGATCCAGGAGCTGGGGGAACTTGCTTCCCCAGGGGCCATTTCAGGAGGTGGGCACTGAATATGTCTGAGCTTTGCCTGTTTGTTTGGCACCCCCTGGTTGAAAGAGTTGTAGCCTGTGCTTTGATTTTTTTTTTTTTAGTCTATCACCACCCCTGATAGGGGGAGAGGATTTGCTGCCCCACACCTGGCAGTCCTGCCTGCTCTGTGGCCCAGCCCAGAGAGCGCTGGGCCTGGAATCAGAGCAGCTAATTCCTTTGAAGTGTCTGGGGGTTTCAGGGGCAATGGCCAGGTAAGCCTGGGTGGGGAAACCCAGCTGAGTGGCCCCAGGGCCCAGCTGCTTCTGTTTCATCTGTTTCAGGGCTGACTGGGTGCAAGTTCCTGGCTCCAGGAGGGAGAGCTCGCCCGCCCGTGGGGAGGGAGAGGCCCAGGGGAGGGAGAGAAAGGCCCAGGTGATGGAGGGAGGCAGAGGGAAGTGGGTGGTGGGGGGGGGGAGGCCCAGAGGAGGGAGGGCAAGGTAGCCCAGGCTGCCCTTCCAGGGCCCTCCTGGCTGTGTGTCTCACGGGGCTGTGACCAATGGTCTCAGGCTTTACCGTGGCCCGTTTGTAAGCGTGCAGCGTGGTCGCTGTCCTGTCTCTCTGTGGGCTGCGCGGTGGCCTGTGGGGCACACGTGGGAAGCGGTTACCAGCAGGAGGAGGTTGAGGACACATCACTCACAAAGAGGCTTTGATTCCCGGAGCTGTGCAGATGTCACCTTCTGGCCACCGGGACTTTGCTTCAGGGACGAGAACGCTGAGTCAGCAGGTCCTGCTTCTCCTTTGCCTTCCTTGGGGGCTATTGAGGGGTGGCTTACGCACCCCCTCCCCCCAGCTCCAGCCATTCTCTGGACACCAATCCCTGGACACCTCCCAGCCCACCTCAGATTCCGCACCTAAAACCCAACGTGGGCCATTTCCTTTCTGCTCCTCTCCCTGCTCAACCCCGGGGAGCCACCACATCCTCATTACTGGGGCCACCAGGTTCAGGGAGGCTTTGACCCAGTGGATGAGCAGGCAGATGGACACAGGAAGGAACGAGTGTCCTTCTCCAGTGAGGCTGTGACAGAGGGGCAGCCCTATGACTTTGGGGAAATCAATCTGACTTCTCTGGAGCTCAATCTGCCCACCGCCACCACCCAAAACAATCCCACTTTCAGGGGCTCCACCTTCAGAGGCGGCCCCATTCCTTGGTGACTTTGCTGAATTCCATCATGGCCACCATTTAATCCATCAGATACTTGCTCTAAGGATCCCTTGTGGCTGTGGGCAGTGATGGCAAGGGACCCCTGAGGGTGCAAAGGGCTCGTTCACTCCATGCAGATTCGAGTCCACCCGGAGGTAACTAGGAAGAAAGGCCTGGTGAACCGCTTCAGGAAAACCCTGTGGAGCACCATGCTGCTCCAACACACCCGGGTCGCCATGGGTCAGCGTCCACTCAGTGGCAACTGGTTTGGGTGGGTGGGTGGTGGTGGCTGGCGGCACCAGTGCTGCCAGGGCCTGTGGCATCCTACTGCCATCAAGTTGATTCTGGCTCATGTCGCCCCGATAGAGGAGTCCTGAGGCTGTAAATCTCCAAGGGAGCAGGTAGCCTCAAATTTCTCCCTCTGTGGGGCTGGTGGGTGGGAACTGCCCACCTTGCAGTTAGCAGGCCACTGTTGATAGCGCCACCAGGGCCCTGTGGTAGGGGAGCCCTGACGGACTCAGCGGCTGTGCCAGGCTAGGGGAAGCCAGTGTACAGGCACACAGGAATCCTTTGGTGCAGCGCACAAGCTTCCAGGCACCAGCTGCATTCCAACTGTGTTGCCATAAAAATATGGGAAGGAAGGGAAGCGTGTTCACAGGTTGGCTGGAGAGTTTGAAACCAACAATCAACTCTCTCTTACCCCCCCCCCCAAGGAACCAGAATCCATTGCTGGCTTATGCAGGCCTGCCATGCACAGAGCCCCCTTTCAAAAACTGGGTTCAACCCTCCGTGCTAATGGCTTTTTCCACGAACCTGAGCCAGCCAGCACGAATATTCTTTGAGGACTCTGATCCAACCTGTGTGTTCAGGAATCCTGAAAGGGAAGCACCATCTTTGCCCTTGGATGCGTTAAGGCCCTTGAGGGGGCTGAGACGGTTCAAGATGAGGCAATGACAGGTGACATCTGAACACGGCAAAGCCCAAACCCATGGCTCTGGAGGCGGAGGCGGTGCCGACTCGTGCTGACACCATGTGTTCCAGAAGAGAGCAGCTCCCTCGGGCTTCCAAGGGCCGCGAGCTGGATGGGCGCAGACCACCAGGTCCTTCTTCCGGGGTGCGCTGCCCACACTGCTGCTGGGGGAAGTCTGGCCGCCTGCCTGAGGGGCACTGCTCGGGTGTGGGGACTAGGAATTGGGTCCTGACTTGGAGGGCACCATGGAAAGCGGTTTGGGTTGTCATGGTCACCATAGAGGGTCTTGTACCTTGGCTAATTCACCCCCACCCCCACCCTCACCCCCACCCCCACCCCTACCCCACCACGCCCAGACCAATTCAGTCTGAGTTTTTATAGGTGGGGCCCTGAGCACCTAGGCAGTTCCAGTGTGGAGCAGGGCTTTGAAAGGGCTTCATTTCTGGCCTGACCTCCTGCGGAGTTTGCCTTTCCCTCCCTGATAGAGGATAGAGAAGCTAGTTTAGCAAGATCCCTAGGTAATTCTTAGACAAAGAAACTCCCTGAGGAGCTTGATAAAATAGTCTGCTTCAGTGCACACTGCCGTGCACACCGGCGTCCTGAACTGGTTTGACAGCCTGGGGGGAAGCAAGGCTTGAGAATCCTGACTGTTAGAACCCTGGTGGCACAGTAGTTACACCTTGGGCTGCTAACTGCAAGGTCAGCAGTTCGAAACCACCAGCCGCTCCAGGAGAAAAAGATGAAGCGTTCCACTCTCGTGAAGAGTTACAGCCTCAGAAACTCACAGGGGCGGCTCTGCCTTGTCCTATGGCCCCCGCTTTGGTGTCGAGTCGGTGGTAGTGAGGAGTACTCACTGGTGGTACAAAGCTGCGGTGCCGTGTTACAGGTAACTTTTCTGTGGGGAAGCTAGTCCTGGCGGGTTTAAAACCAGACGAAAAGGCAAGCGCCCAGAAGGAAAACCGCCCTGGTCCCTGAGTGTGTGCATCGGGTGATCTCGGCGACCGAGGGTGCATTCTTGCCCTGAGGTCCGGAGCGCCACGGTTCTCCTCTCTGGGCTGGTGGTTTCCGGCATCTTTGAAGTAAGTAGTGGAGCCATCTGTAGTTGGTTATTCCTGCCCAGGGAACTCGGAGTACCGGGGCAGGGGTGGGGGACGGGACGGGCGGGGGCAGGAGTGAATCAAACAGGC